AAATACTGTTAGGTTAACATCACACCTCTAACAGTCAAACCCCCAATGAACTGGTTAATCATTTTTCAACAAGAATAACAAGTTTTCATTATAAAATCTCCAGCGAATTAAAGATTTTCTGGAATTATCCTCGTGATAATAAAAAAATTTATGAATTTCACTCTAAGTGACAATTCATGCTAAGTTAATACTACACCTCTGGCACTTCCAACTTTCTTTTAGTATTTCAAGTGAAAACATAACACTGGAAGAAACAGCGGCAAAACCTACGTATTCAATTTCGTAGCAGGTTATTATTAATAACATCAGAATCCATGCCTTTCACGCATGGAGGTTTCTATCTTGGTCCCTAATTAGAGATAAGCCTATACGCGTAACACGCGTTGTCGGGTTATCCATTCCCATGAAATTGACGAAGTCTATGTATTCGACATCATAGCACTAAGTCTAAGAAAGTTTATTCTTTTAGCACAACGTTATATGTGGAACGAACTTAGACAATTCACATGCTAGCCTGACTTCAACGGTAGTCGACAAAGGCTTATCAAATCCGTTGATGGCTGAGGGTTTGTCAAAAGTCCTATAAATATTTGCGGGCCCATCAGCTGAATAGATGTGAGCTGTGACGTGACGTTTGAGAGCTTATGCTCATAAGTAGCTTGTATCGTCACAATAGTTTCTCTTCGAAGCTCATCCTCACACAAGTCCTGTGTGGCAAAATCTCTTCAACCAAGATGCCTTCGAAGCTGGTGCAGAGAATAACTCCTTTATGATAAGGAATCAACAGCTCTAAGATCAGAATTGAGATCCAAAGTATTTCAGAAATTTATCCCAATCAACTACGAACTTTCGACAACTTTGGAGGAGGCTCTGTAGGATGTCTAAAAATTACTACAGATACCTGATCCCCATCAAACATCGATGATGGAAATTACAATCTGACTGTTTCCAGAAGACTATAATTTAAAAACTTTCCCGTAGATCGATGAAAGCTCTAATTCAACAGCCTTCGCAATCAACATCAGGAGTTACAATTTAACGACTCTCTTATTTTCAAGGAGCTAAGACGAAGGTTACAAGATGATGATCTTTGCAACGTTCTAGCAAAAGAGACTACAAATTAACGGTTTCTTCAAATCAAAACACAGATATCTCTTAAACCGTAAGGAATTTGACGAAACAGACGAGAGCAAACTAAACCCTTAGGGTGGATTTGGTCAGCTCCGTCTCGTCGAGATAGTCGATTTTTGTATATAATTCGTCCAATTCTGACCTATGGTTTGAAAGTTATGACCTGTTCGTCGTAGCAAGTTATGTTTTGAAGTCTGTCTGCAAGACTGGACTTCGCCTAAACATTGAACTTAGCCTGAAGCTCGCTACGCTCGCCTGAGGCTCGCATCTGAGTCCTAAAGTTAAAACACAGAGTTCATCTCTGCGTCCTAACAACAAAACGCAAAGTTCGTGGCCGCGTTCCAGACTCAAAATGCATAGTTCGTGGCTGCGTTCCAGACTCAAAATGCAGAGTTCATGGCTGTGTTCTAGACTCAAAATGCTGAGTTCGTGGCTACGTTTTCAGACTCAAATGCAAAGCCAACTCTGCATCCCAGGTCCAAAACACAGAATTCGTGCCCAGAACGCAATTCTTGAATTTGACTTGTTCAAACACGACCTGAACGGTTTCAAAATTATTTTTTACAATTTGAGGGGATCACTCCCCACTTAGGAGCGAACTAAGGGGGCGATTACACCCCTTAATCCCCAATAAATGGTGAAAAATCCAATTGAGTTAGGGATCTCCAATTGATCATTGTAGGCTGTCAAAAAATCACAATAGATAGCTGATCCCCATCAAACACCGATGATGGAAGTTACAATCTGACGACTCTTGCATATCAAAGAGCTAAAGTAAAGATTACAAAATGACGATCTTTGCAAAACTTCGATAGAAAGAGACTACAAATCGACGGTCTCTTCAAACCAAGACGTGGAAGTCCTCCCCGCGTACCAGCATCAAGACGCACCACGTTCATAGCCACGAACGCAGCTCAAACGCAGCTTCCAAATCGCTGCAAACGCAATCGCTGCAGCTCAAATCGCCGCCAAACGCAGCTCTAATCGCTGCCAGACGCAGCTCAAATCGCTGCCAAACGCAGCTCAAATCGCCGCACTCGTTCAAACACGAGTTGAACGGTTTCAAAACCGTTTCCCACGATCTGAGGGGATCACAACTCCACTCAGGAGTGATTTAAAGGGCGGTTACATCCCATTAGCCCCACTTAGGAGCGAATTAAGGAGGTGGTTACACCCCTTACTCCCCTATAAATAACTAAGAAATCAACTTAGTCCTGGGCTGGATCTTTCGGGCGGTCTGTTGGAACTTCTTGACAGGAAAAAGAGGATCCTTCATCCTTCGGTTGGAGCTTTGGAGATCAGTAACAAGATCTTCTTCATCCTTGGCTTATAACCGACTTTCGGTTAAATCAACTCTTTCATAGAGTTTCATCAAACTCGTTCAGAGTTCTTCACAACGTCAAATCGTGAGGAGAAGACCACGTTCCAGTGAAACAAGACATCGGATCGTCAACGAGAAGCAAACTCGACGCGAGCATTCGAGGGAGGCATCTCATCGCCACCGTGAAGAACCCAGAATTAAACAAAGGGGAGAATCCAGATCATTCTCTTCTCTTTTGTAATCAGAAAATCCAATTGTAACTGAGATTAAAGGAATACAAATCAAATTTTCCTTCATTGTCTTTTTACTGCAAATTTTCCCACAAACAATCCTCTTTTCGGCAACTTAAAAAAAGGGAGATCGATCTTCAAATTGCGAGGGGAATTTCTGGAGAATTGAGATCGGTAATTATCTTTTGGTAGATCATCAAAGGGGCTAGAATTTTGGAGATCTAGAGGCGCTTTTGAGGAGAAGGTCGACATTCTTCCTTCAATAACCAAGAGAATCTTCTGGTTCAGCAACAGAGAGCTTAGATCTTGGCTTGAAACCGATTTTCGATTAAATTAATTAACTCTTTTACCGAGTTTAAACTCGCACTGAGTTATTAAACTCGTTAAGAGTTATTTTTAAACTTACCATGCAAGTTCTCCACGACATCAAATCCAAAAGGATTCAACCGTATTCCACGAGGTGAAATGTCGGATAGTCAACGAGAAGCAAATTGAACACGAGTTTCGAGGGAGGCATCTCATCGACACTAAGAAGAATCTAGTTTTAAACAAAGAGAATGGTCTCCGTCGATCCTTTCTCTCTTTTGTAAATCGGGAAACCAATACAAGAAGATTGTAATTTCTTTTTCTAAGTCTGTTAGAGAGAAATTATATTGAGAGAATTGTAATCCATTCTTTTTCTAATTCTGTTAGAGAGAATAATACAAATTCAATTCTCAATTGTCTTCTTTCAAGTTTCCCACCAAATAGCGATACTAATACAAAATATGAAGATTTGAGGGACTAATATGAAGATGTGCATGATTTAAGGGACTACTATTTAAAAACCCCATAATTATATAACCATCAAAACTCATCATAACTTTTTGAGTTTTGACTTAGTAGCATGGACTTCAAAGATTGTATGAAAACTACTAGATTCAATTCTCATCAGCCACAAATTAAAAACCGATTTAGATCAATTCTCATCAGCCACAAATTAAAAACCGATTTAGAATAAATTGATATTGCTTCGTAAGCCCAAGTTTCGAGTCATAAAATAATGCTCAATCTGCGGGACATTGTTAGGATATAAAAATATTCTCCTAAATTGTTTAGAACTCATGGGATGCAAGGAAGAAGATGAGGGATTGAAATAGGTTTGTGTTTGGGTTTGTGATAAACAAGCTTGAGGTTTCTAAATGGATATAAGTTAAATAGATAATTAGTTTGGTTTATAATCAATGGGATACGATGGTCATTCTACCTAAAAGTAATATTCTCCTAAAGTTGAAACACCAATAACTACAGGGACTAATATCAACACACTAATAGTATTTGAGGGACTAATACAAAATATGAAGATTTGATGGACTAATATCAAAATACCTATGATTTAAGGGACTAATATCTAAAAACCCCATAATTATAGAACCATCAACCCTCACCACAACTTTGAAGTTTTGGCTTAGTAGCACGAACTTTACAAAGATGGTATAAAAATAACTAGTTTCAATTCTCACCGGCCACAAATTAAAAACTGATTTGAAATAAATTAATATTGCTATGCAAGCCCAAGTTCCGAGTCATAAAATAACGCTCAATTTATGGGACATTGTTAGGATAAATATAACCCTCAATTTCCATCACAAGTTCAGAATTGTGGTGGCATTCTCGTTCGGCAACACCAACACTCATGACAGAATTCCTGACATAAACTCACAATTAACTATGATTTGGTGATACATACCAAATTCTTCTAGGCAAATAGAAACAAGGTTTTAAAAAATTTTTTTTGACTCACTTTATTTAAAGGATCCCTTTCACCGTCACTTTCTACCTCATTTCTTATGGTTTGTTTAATGCTACTCTTCCTTTCTCTTGGAATATTTGACTATTCCCTTTGCTTGTGGATTTTACGGCAAGAAATATCAAATACTCACATGCACTGAAAAGGAATAGCAGCTCCATTATTTGGTCAGGCAAGAAATGAGCTCCTCACGTTAGGGCGACATATATACCTAGAATAGAAAGTAAATGGGCCAACACTAGGCCCAGCGGTATCTATGATCCATGAGCAATAATATACTTTTGATTAGTCATATTGTCAACACAATTTCTATAATTGTGCATATTTCCTAGGGTACATGATGCGTGCGTGCGGCTTCATTTTAAGGATCTAATCCGTACTCCTCACATTCTACAATTCAACTACTAGTCAATTTTTTTAGTTATCCAACAAGATGTTGACATTAGAACATGAACAAAGAAGTTTTAAAGCCAGTAAGAGGTATTGAACTATTCCATCATCAAGAATCAATTATAAGCCACTGAATAAGTTAAAAGAGGAACAAAATGTACATAAAATGCTTGGCTGTAACAACTTTTCTTCTCTTTAATGTGCTCTTTTGCAGTGGCTGTTCATATGATATCCAAAGTTACCAGTACAGCAGCTATTACAAACAAGAACACATTAAAAGAGTACATCTTTCGCCCAGGCTCATAAACCTCGCAGCAGGCAATTGCAAATACCCGCAAAATTACGACTTTTTCTCTACATCATATGTTATTCTTGTAAAAGGGTATCCAGCTTCTATTCTACTTTTTTTTGTTTAAACTTAAATATTCATAAAAGGCGTCCACCTTACGCGATGAAATATTGCAAGTACGCCGCAGTTAAGTATAATACATTCCTCCAAAATCTTGAAGCCACTCCATTGCCAGTGCTTCTATCGCGATGAAAACAGCTGAAAGTGATGCTCCTGGTTGGCTGGATTTAAGATAGCTCTACTCTTTCGAGCATATCCGCAGCCACAACACAACTGCCTTTAGAATGCTGAGATTATATAAATCACCAGCAGTTACTCAATAATCATGTCAAAAAAAACAACTGCCATCGGCATGGCTTCCTGTAGGATACTGAGGTTGTAATTCACACAAGAAGAAGAGCCGAGAGGATCTCTCCCATAGTCTTCTCTGGTACATCATTGTTATCATCCAACTCCGTTCCAGACTCCAATACTGCAGCATCCAAGACCAGCTTCCTCCTCGCGATCTCATATATGTTCTCATCTACGGTGTCTTTGGTTACAAGCCTGCAAAATTTTTGAACCAGTGAGATATTGATTTACTAGGTTCAGCCTGTTAGGATAGAGTTTTATACTATGGTCATTCACGGAGTACTAAAACATGAAAATGTAGGAAGTTGTTTATGCACACCTATAGATCGTAACGGGTTTATTTTGACCTATACGATGACAACGGTCTTCAGCCTGCCGATCCATCTGAGGGTTAAAATCCATATCATGTATGATGACTGTGTCAGCTCCTATCAAGTTCAGACCCTGCCCTCCAGCTCTTGTTGAAAGCAAGCATGCCATGATAGAAGGATCATTGTTGAAGGTATCAACTATTGTTTGCCTCTCCGTTACTTGAGTACTGAAATTTAAAATTGAAGCGTCATACATACTATATGATTAATTAATGCCCTTTAAGATCACGGAAATTTACACAAATCAAGCCTACCTGCCATCAAGGCGTTTGTATGTAACACCTATGACCTCCAGTGTCCACTCAAGAATATCAAGCATTTGGGTCCACTGGCTAAATATTAGAACTCTGTGACCGCTGTTGCTTAAAAGAGGCAATAGCTCAGCTAAAGCCTGGACAGAACACAAGAAATCAAGACGAGTCAAAGAAAGGTCATAATAGTCTTACAGGGGTTGCTATACCTGACATTTTGCCGACCCCAGAACATGGTCATCTGTGAGAGCTCGAGCTCCTTTTACACCCGTGTCACCGTATAAAACTAGTAGCTGAAACAAGTAAAGCAACTGTTAAAGTTAGTCAACTAGGATAATTCCGACAGTAAAGTTTGATAATTTGGACCAATAGACCACTTCAATTAAGATGCACAAACGCAAAAAAAAAGTGGATAACCCATATAAATGATGTGAAATGGCTCACTAAATAAAAGAACAGCAAGCTAAGCAATATCAGGGATCTCTGAAACAATGTGTCACAACTAGGCCGATCCTTATACAAATCAGCCGTAACAGATCAGACTTTCCATTTCAAGAAAAAGGATCATCTAGAAGAACAATAAATTAGATAACACACGTAGGTACAATCTTATTATTAAAAGGGGTTTTTGTCTTTAGACCCAAAGTTTTACCCTGATTTATGTTTAAACCCAAGTTTTTATTTGTACCTTTGAACCCAGTCAACTTTCTCTTTTTGTCTTTAGACCGATATAGTATACTTCATAGTTGCAATATATTATATTCGTACTTTTAGGAAGTAAAAACCCCTAAATACCCCCACATCTCAAAATTCTCTCTTTAACATATGAAATTAAAATCAAAATTATGAACTTAAAATCAATTTTTTTTATGTTTTAGTATTATCTGTTCTTATTAATTGTAAAAAACAATCATGAGGAATTATGAATAATCATGTGAAAAATTATGATGAAGATAATGGTAAATTAATGCTATAATTGTCCCAAAAGCTTATGTGAATTTATGCTACAAATTAGGAGTTGAGGAATTGGGAGAATTTAAGATACCAAAAAAGAGATGAATCCTCATCAAAATTTAGTACTTCAACCTTAGGAATTAAGCGAGTTGAGGAGCATTTAATGGGTTTATGAGAGTTGAAGAAGAAAAAAGAAACTAAAGGAGGTGAGAGAGAATTAAATGAGAAAATAGAAGGGCAAAATTGTTTTTTTGAAAAATTTTAGGGAGGCACCACATAAGTACGAGGTTTATTTGAGAATTTGGGTTAAAAGATAAATACACAAAGTTGATTGTGTGACTCGCGTCTAATGATACAAAGAAGAGTAATTGGGTTTAAACATAAATCATGGTAAACCTTTGGGTCTAAAGACAAAACCCCCTTATTAATTCACAATTCTAGATTTCTTTAATGTTGCACCTGAAAGTAGAGTTAGTAAGTCATCTGGAGCTTTCTTATAAATATATCTTTAACTGAATAGACATAACAAACTGCCAGAATTAGACGGCAAAAAACTAGAAAAAGATGATATCTGACAAGAATGATCAGGAGGTAATCCAGGTATCTTTTTAAGCAACTATTAGTGCAGTTTCCAGGAAATAATATGAGCATCTGTATCCTCTATCAGTGGATGTATTAATAATATGATTTGGGGAAAACACACCAGTCAGCATCCAATAATTTCTCAGCTAAAAATCCAGAGGAATGGTGAGCTGATGACAAGTTTCATATGACAAACCAGCTGAAACTGAGACCAAACAATTGTAGGATCAAAAGTCAATGGTTAAAGAAAATACCCGGTGAATTGAGAAATCATTGTACGTTTTAAGCTCTTGGATTGCCTTTTCTACTGTACACTCAAATCCAAATGCGCCTTTTGGATACAACATTTTACCAATGCGAACAACATCCTTATCAGTGTAGATTTGCCTCACCAGTAACGGATGATTTGCAATCTGATAAAAGCATGAACAATTAGTAAAAACAGTACCAGTAAAAAAGGGCACTAGCGTAGAACAGTTAGGTTTAATATGACAATAAAATGTAAATATAACAGCAAAGGTCTGGATAATAATATTCCTGATAAAATGCACGCATATACAAGAATAGAAAGTAGGTTACAAGTAGAAAGGACATAAAGGGCCTGTGATATGCAAGATTAGCATGATTTTCAGCTGTCAATTATACATTCATGTCTAATTGAAAAAACAACGTTAGTAATTAGCTCCAAAATATCAAAATGACTGAACTAAGAGTAGGATCATTTTCTTCTTTAGTACAAGTAATTAACTATTTGTATTAAAATTAGGCAACAATAAAGAAGAGAAAATACACTGACAAATTTAGTTCACTCAACCTTATGTCACTTGTATGCACATAAAAGAGAGAGATATAAATTTTATACTAAGATCAAAGGTAAATACATAAAATTATAGAACAAGAAACAGATCTATGTGACGTTTTTCAATAATTTTGTGAGCATAAATCAAATCTAAAAGCAATGCCACAGAATGACAGATCTGTGGTATGCAAGGCTCTAAAAGAAATATCGGTACCTTACGAAACTGCGTAAAATAGTTGGATATCTGACGTTTAGGAAGAAACTTGACAGCATTGCCAGACAATCCAGTTGAGGATTTTTCCAAACGAGCTTTAGAGGCTGCACGGTATTCCTCTATGGCATCCCTATACACCTCAGATTGTTCTCTGCCCATCACAACATATCGAACCTGCACAACATATTACTGGATTATCAGAATCAAGCAAACCTCCTAAAATAATTAAAAGAATATTATTGTGTAGAGGTCTCGTTGAAAAAAAAAAACTGGGTTCAATACTTTTATTCCTAATTCTTAATCCCTTACATTTTATTCCATAGTTTTGAAACTTTAAGAACAGTTCGGATTTTCTAATGGGTCGATAAATTTATGAGGAATATTTGCATTACAAGCCTCATGTATTAATTAGATGATCCTACTCAAAGTAAAAGAGCAGAAAGAATTTCATGCAATTCATGGATAATCTGATATAACGATATCATCATGCAAAAACATAGGTTCTCTTTCCCAAAAATCAGGTGAATCACAGGCCAAGTAAAAGAGCAGAAAGAAGCTCATGCAATTCATGATACTCCGATGTAAAGACAAACCATAGGTTTTCTTCCCAAAGATCAGGTGAATTACATAGTACCAGCACCCATAGTTGGCAGTAAATCCTATCTCAGCATCCTAGACATCATGGATTATTAAAGAAAATTTGAGCCATTGAGCTTACATTCTGAATTTTAGGAACCAGTTGCTGCATAACATCTGATTTCAATCGCCTCAAAATGAATGGACCGAGAATGGATTTTATCCGTTGAATCAAATCACTATCTTCTGCATTCAGTACTTTTTTCAGATCAATATCCCCAGTTGCAAAAATATCAGGCATCATAAATTCCAACAGCGACCACAATTCCTGCAAATGTTTGTGACATCAATATGATAATCATGCAAGATAACAATAGTCTGCATGAGTCTGATATAGGTAAATTGATGTATAGTCCTTGAAGGACTTCTAACTGTTATATTAATACAGGGCAACAATAACATCACATGTAAGTGTGGAACACTACCAAAAGAGAGCCAGAGATTTTTACGACACTTCCCTGACAATAAACTAGCATGCCATTACACACAAAGTCAAGACACCTTCCTTCATCCTTGCCTGGTAGTTAAAAATATGTAGAGCCTCATTCTCCTGATAAACATGTGCAGAAGATGACATATCTTATGCTCCTTTCGACAAAACCTAATAGGCTAATTGTTATACATATAAGCTGATTAAAATTAGGTCCTTTCATATGCAAAAACCCAATGTTCTTTTATACAAATCAAATATGCAAGGATTGTTTATTGTGTCCCATGTCTATACTTTAGATAATTGTGTCTCTGACACTCTGTGTCCATGTAACAGATCATAACTGAAACCAACATCAGCAAAACCAAGATATCCAGTCAACTAATGCAAAATTCTTTCAAAAATTTCAAAGGTGCCTTCCACTACACCAAAATTCTGAAGTTAAGGTGAATTTAAAGTGAGGGTTGAGGCTTACATTTTATACTTTAACATGCCCTTACAGGTTGAGTGGTCTTTACATGGGCCAGAAGTGGTATCTTTTTTAATACTCTTTAAATTTGGGGAGGCACATGGTGCTCTAATACCATGCAAACTCCAAAGTTGTGGTGCGGGTTGAGGATTACAATTCTATACTCTTCAAGAAAATAAAGCACTTCTAGTTTACCAAAGTTCTTGACAAATCCTGCCATAACATCAAACCTTGACCTTGTAACAAAACAATAAGAGGGTTCTCACCTCATAATTTACTAAAATATTTACGTCATGATGAAAATCTTTTGGGAGGACATTTAAACTTTCCGTAGTATCTTTTGTAGACAATTGACTGTAAGTTTCAGAAAGCTAAGAACATAAACATACATGCAAATCATTTTGAAGTGGCGTCCCAGTCAACATCAGGCGTTGCCTTGCATTTTTAGCAACAGACATCAAATTTTTCCAACGGTAGCTATTTTTGTCCTTCATCACATGCGCTTCATCCATTAGCACAGAGCCCCATTGCCACCGCTTCAACACCTTACGATCATCTTTTTGCTGTCCACTGCAAAATAACACATGCTGTGACAATACTGTGTGAAACAAAATTCGGTTATTAACAAATAGAAACAAAATTTATCTCAAACCTGCGCCTCTCAAAAAGTGAGTAGCAAACTAGCAGCACATTGAACGGAGGAGGCAGGCCAGCTTTGCCTAGGGAGCTCAATTCCTTTGAGTACATGTTTCTTCCAGCTCCATGAAATAAGATGACAGAAAATGATGGACACCATTTTTTTAATTCTCTTTCCCAATTCTCTAATACTGAAGCTGGGCAAACAATCAGATGAGGACCTGAGTCATTGTCCAAGTGTTTAAGAAGGGTTAAATATGTCACGGCCTGTGAAAGAGAGAGCCATGAGAATTGTATTTCACTTTGAAAATGGGCAGATTTATGCTAAGTATAAATTACCTGTACTGTTTTGCCAAGCCCCATTTCATCCGCCAAGATGGCTGCACAGAAGGAAAACAAATCAAAGAAATACTTCCAAAACAGAAAAATAAAATAAAATGTGCTTATTAAAGAAAGCATTTAGCAAGCAATGCATTAACAAAAAAGCTCAGCAATTTAATTAATATATAGTTGGATGAGGTGAGTGCTTTAAGTCAAGAGCACCTTGTGTCATCAAAATCAAAATACTAATAATCAACCTAGCACGCTAAATATGCAAGAAAAAAAGGTTGGTTTTTAATGATTCAGATGTGGACAGTCTTGTTTCTGAAAGTCAATATTGATGACATTCTTTCTGTTCTCCCAAACATGGTACAACTTCCCAAACATTTATGGTGATTTACCAAAGACCCTACATTGGAAAGCAAAGAAAGCTTGACAAATTTCCTAGAAAATACGTTAAAAACAAAAACTCATATTAACATGAGCGCTGAGGTTCAATATTCCATTGATTGAGCACTCATTCCTTTGTTTGACGATTGTCCACCCTGCTACCTCAATGCAAGCAGCATGAACCAAAAATTTACCTCAACTCTATATTCTAATCTATTTCATGTGTCATTAATTAGTATTCTGAATTACTACCTTCTCCCAAAAATGCAACTTAATAAAAAAAAACGTTGTAATTATGGATACACCCTATAATATGCTGGTGTGGCCACTTGTGCCTCCAAAACTTCATTATCAGCACCTACACCCCCATAAACTCAGACGGTGTTACTTTTTTCCCCTCAATTTACAGAGAAATTTAGTCTTTTTTCAGTTAAGTTGACAGATCGAGACACGGGTTTCTACCAATAAATTGGTTTAGGGATAGTGCAGTGGATATATATGCAATAAACCAAAAAAGTTACTGATTTCGAACAATATGATAGCAGCTTAAATCAAAATTTTACCTCCACCGATGTTTTTCCTATACAACAGCAGCAAAAAATTAACTCCAACAAGCTGATAAGGCTTCAGCAAAGGCTCAAACTCTGAATCCTCGCTCATGCAGGCCGCATTCACATCCTCCTGAGTGACTATCCTCGCCGCCGAAGAA